CAAAAAAACATTAATTGAAAATATTGCCAGACATGTGGACACTTTACTCATAGGTTAAAAAAAATATCTCTATCTATCTATATCTATATCTGTATCTATAATCTCTCTCTCTCTCTCTCTCTCTCTCTCTCTCTCTCTCTCTCTATCTATCTATGGTAAAATTTAAAGTACTAGGATCTAGACAATAATGAAAATATTAATTTTAAAATTTGGGGATTAAATAAAAACTGGAAAATTTATAGTCTTAAGCCCTTATATTAGGAAATAAGGATGCCTCAAAATTAATGTGTCCAATTTAAGAAGTAAAACAAAAACAAAAAACAAAAACAAAAACCCAAAGAACAAAGAAAAAAAAGAAACAATGTGTTGCTTCTAAGGAAACAAATATCTGGAGAGGCTGATCAAGAGAAAGAAAAAGGGGAAGGGATCAGATAAGCAATATGAGGATGTGAAAAGAGGCATGACTAACATACAAGCTTCAAATAGAAAAGCAAATTAAACCCTAAGAAAGTAGAAGCATGAAAATAATCAATATAAGACTGAGAAATCAATAAAAGAAAGTGAACATGCAGTTAAGAAAAATCAATGAAAATAAAAATTCTTTGAAAAGATAAATAAAACTAACAAATAATTAGCTAGACTGATTAAGAAAAAAGGAGCCAAAATACAACTCACTAATTTCTGAAATGAAAGAGGGGGCCTTATATATTTACTACACATATTAAATGGATCATAAGAAAATATTATTTAAAAACTTTATGTCAGGGAGAGCTGACTCATGATGAACACACAATATGATATATAGATGATGTATTATAGAATTGTATACTTGAAACCTATGTAATTTTACTAAACATTGTCACCTAAATAAATTTAATTTAAAAGAAAAAAATATATACCAAGAAAAAAAAACACCTTCATGCCAATGGATTCAATGACTTGCTGAATTATGAGATTATGGGATGTGGAATGGGAAATAGGGGTACACTGCAGTGGCTTTGCCATCAGTGTTGACAGCAGTAGGAGATAGCTCTAGAAGTTGTCAGATTAAATAATTGGAGAGCAAAAATTCATAAGCATGCATGCTAGACCTGCTAGGAACTCCCAGAACTAGTTATGAGGCATGTGAGTTCAGCTGGATTTCCCTGAGGTAAGAAGGGGCAGTTCATCCCACAGTAGTGGGACCTAGGAAACAGTTTTATGTCAACAAAGGCCATAAACCCAGACCAGCTACCCTAGAATGTAAAAACATTTTAGAGCCTGTGTCTTTGTTTCTGGAAAGGCTTTAATTATGGGTGTTCTTTTTTCTTATAAATGAATAAATATCCTAAATGAGTGAATAAAGAAATTAATAAATCATTCCTCCTTCTCCTTTTCCATATTGAGAAAGACAGAGCCTTGGGCTGATGTGTTAAGGACATACAGAAATATCAAAAGATCCAGAAACAGATTGCTAGAGTTTTTCATATGATAAACTTTTGAGAACAGCCTTTACTTTGTGTGGTAGTTTGAAGTCTGCTTCCAATATGCATGTAACCTATTTAGGTTTCAGGCTTTCAAACTAAATTTGAGCTGGCTGAACCTCATGCAAATGTTTTTTGTGACTAACTTGTAATTAGCAAAGAGAAAAAGAGAGGTAGGGAGGGAGGGAGCAAGGGAGGGAGAGAGGGGTGAGAAAGAGGCATAGACAGATATTGAGAGAGAAAAAGATTATCTGGTTGTGTTTAGGGAAAGGTTGAAGTCCTGGGAGTTAAACCTAACCACTTTGAGTATTAATGTTATAAAAATAACAGAAATGAACTTAAAGTTCATTTATAGAAAGGAAAATCCAAGACTCCTTTCCTCTTTCCTTCTCACTTGCCACATTTTCCCATATCTGAGTTCTTGTAGCATGTGTGGTCCATGCCACTTACTTGGTAATTAGCATTGATTTTCTTCTCTGTACATGTTCATGTAAATTTCTAGTCTTATCTGTGTGACTGTGGAAGCAATAATAATACCTTTCAGGGTTATTGTGAGTCTCAAAGCAGATTAGGTATACAATGATACTTGAAAATTTATAGTGATGCATACAATTCTGGGACACCAGCAAAGTGATCTGGAGTTCAAAGCAGGGTTAGGAATCTGTCTACTGAGAAAGGAAAGTGAGGCAGATGCCTGCACACACTAAGCCAGGCAGGAATGGGGTGTACATAAGTTGGACTCAACCTAGCCTTTTGTATACAGAGAAAATCTATCCCTTTTGATACAGGCTCCACTGGATGGCTGGACTGAGGTTTCAGGCATAACTTGTCTTGAAGATTGATTTGGGTACTGGGCAAGGCCTTGACCTGAAGACGCAGAGACTCTGGTTTTCAGGCAAAGACGTAAGAATGTGGTAGAGAACTTGCTAGTCATTTTCTCTGTAAGGTTTGGTGAAATTACACAGGTGTTTTCACTGTATGAACAAAATTGGTTTTTAAGAAATCTTGAAAGTATTGTTTTTTACCCTATTAAATAAGTTCCTAGGCTACCAACAACTTTTTCTAGAAGAGCAATCCTTAAGATTTTGTGTTTTCTTTGTGATTCATTTTTAATTTTTGTACCAGGAAATGTAAAAAGCAAGAAAACAAATCCCCTCAAAACCTCAAAAACTCCTGTTGAAAATTAAACCATGTTCTTGAAAAGGAAAAGGATAGATTAGCAGACTGAGTACTGAATGGGATTAAAGAGTTGTAGATGACAATAGAAGGACTATGACTCCAGAATTTCTATCTCCAGCTCCAAATTCTTCCTTGAGCTCAAGCTTTCATATCTATCTACCTAACTGGACGGCTCCCTTTAGATGTCTAATGGGCAACTCAAACCTAACAAATTCAAAATGGCACTCTTGGTTTCCAGCCCTCAGGGGACACATGCAGAAAATCTTTAGCCTAGACTTTCCCGTGCTCCATTATGGGAGTCTAAAACTATAACTTGTGGGCCAGCTTAAGTCTTTTTTCTCAAAAGGCACTTCATTGGGTAATTTTAGCTATGAATATTCACAAAGAACCTTCAATATCATTGCCTGTGGAGGAAAATGACTAAAAACAGGCATAAAGAGAAAACACCTGGATAATATATAAATGAAAGCACTTGACGGCTGTGTGATAATTTCAAAATATATTACACAGAATTCCAAATGGAAAAACTGCATAGTTCTTTTGCCATCTGCTATGTGAAACATAAGTCTAAAGTGTTTCCAAATAAACATCTGAAAAAGAACAGGGGGCTTAACAGACAAAGTTGGCTCTGCTATTTCACACCAGGCTAAATGGAAGTGAGCTTGGTTCCAGCTATAGAAAATGTAATGTGCAGCTATTAGGGACGCTCCCCACCGGGTGAATCTATTCTTCCTTTAGCAACCTTTCTGGTGCTTTCCACGGGCTTCTGGGCCACCCATAAATAGTTATAACCGGGGTTAATAGGATAATATGCAAAAATAATCAGAAAACAAACCCTGTTCTGATCCCAAAAGGAGCAGTTGAACCATGCTTTGTTCAAAAATATTATTAAACAAAACATTTTTGAACTCAGTTACCCTGAAGCCAAGTGAGGAGTGTATGTTATAAATTATTTCTGCACAAAATTCTTGTTTCAAATGAGCATATAAATGTCCTGATTGAGTTTTGACACAATCACTAGTTCCTGTGCTTTAGAAAGACTTTATCTTTTCAAAATACATGCGATTATATCTGGGAGCCAGGAGTTCTCTTACTCAACAAAAGAATGATGATTTATAAGAATTATATTTTTGGGAAATGGGGGTTAACATAGTCAGTATATTATTCAATTATTGATTTAATTTGGAATTTGGAAAAGGAAAATTTGAGGTCACTGGTTATCAATCCTTGTTATCATCATATCTTCAGCTGTCTCAAGGGATATTTACAGACTCTCCAAAGTATCTCAAAAGAAAATTAATTCTAATTGTTTTAAAAACAACTATAGAGACCCCTATAGGTTACCAGGGACAATCTCAGAAATTTGCATATTTTGACTCATATATTTAAACCTCTAACTATCCTTAGGAGGGAAGAACTATTCCTATTCTAATTTTACAAAGGAGGAAACTGAGACAGAGATTATGGAACTTGACCAACATCCTACAGCTAAAAATAGCCAATCTGGGGTTTGAATCTAGTCAGTCAGACCTCAGAGCACATGCTTTTATGCTTTCAGTAACATTAATGTATTTAGTGAAGTGTCTACAATTTGCATGTTCCTGGCTTACCACTGGACACAAAGAAAACATGTTTCTGGTTGTGCTCAGCATCAGATGTCTTCAGACTAACACATCATTGCTGTGTGGTCCCGGTCACAGCTGGCCAGATTGCACAAACTTGCACAAATCATCACACCACCCTGAACTCCTTGCTTATTGCTATTTTTTAATATAACAGGTTTATTGAGATATAATTCACATACCATACAATTCATCCATTTAAAGTATACAATTTAATGGCTTTTAGTATATTCACAGAGTTGTGTGACCATCACCATCACTTCTAGAACATTTTCACCACCCCACAAAGAAACCCCACACCCACTAGCAGTCACCTCCCATTCCCCTGCCCCCAACTCCTGACAAGCACTAGTCAGCTTTCTGTCTCTAGGATTTTTCTATTCTGAACAGTTCATATAAATAAAATCATACAATGTGTGGCCTTTTCTTGTCTGGCTTCTTTCACTTAGTGTAATGTTTTCAAGTTCTTCCATGCTGTAGCATGTATTAGTCCTTTTTTATTGCTGAATAATATTCCATTGTATGAATTTACTACATTTAAAAAAATCCATTCATCATTTGATGGCCATATTTCTACTTTTTGGTTATTATGAATAATGCTATGAACATTTGTGTGCACATTTTTGTGTGGACATATGTTTTCATTTCTTATACTTAGGAGTGGAATTATTGGGTTATAAAAACGGTAACTCTAGGTTTAGCTTTTTGAGGAACTGCCAGACTATTTTTCCTCCTTGTTTATTAATATTAAGAAGTTCTCCTCATCTGACTGTTTTTGTAAAAGTGACTTTTCTTTCCCTATACGGGCAGTTGACACTGGAAAACAAGCATACTAGACTTCGTCTTCAAGCCAAGTTTTCAGCATTTGGGCTGTAAATGGCCACCTTCAATAATGGAAACCAAATGAAAAGCTTAGAGTAACCTCGAATAACTGCCCCATCCCTTCTTAATACTAAGTCTTTAGTGAGTGGATGCAACAAATTTAATAAATGTTGGTAACAATAATAACTAACATCTGTTAAACATTGTAGGTGTTCCAGGCAGTCTATGAAGTATGTTAAATGTATTTTATCATCTGTTTTTAGAATCATTAACATGTTTTAGAATCCTTACATTCCAGAGAATAATATTTTTGAAAATATCTTAAGAATGACAGACCACTGTATTTTTATCTGTATTAATGACTAGATGGGGGGTGGGGGGAGCCTAGCTTGAAGTAAGGAAAACCAAAACAAAAGATGAACTCCCCTAAATGGAAAACTACTCAGAAGCATCTTCATTAATGGTTTAAAGATAATTTCATTGAGGGTATTTTATTGTCAGGAAGCAGGAAATAGAGTGAATTACTGTTATTTATTCTGGGTCTGTATACTCACAATACTACCTCAAGGTTTGAGTTTTTTACTAGGCACACAAAATTTGTTGTCAAATAAAATATGATAGAAGCTAATAAACACTAACTGAATAAAGAAATGAGACACTGTTTTTATACAATATTTTAATTGGCTTTTGTTAAAAGTTTTCTTGTTAAAAAGTCCTTATCTCTTACCTAGTATGAAAATTATTTTGGATAAATTTTCCTGCCATAACCTACTTCAAAGACCAGTGAGTACTGATAGAGTTAAACCAACAAACGAGAAACAAAATTTGCACAGTATATTGTTTGTGATATGTTTAAAGTATAGATGGATAAATTTATATTCATCATTACAATGTTAAGGCCACAAAACTCATTACTTGTAAAGAATAATTATGATTTGTATGGTAATGACATTTTCTATTAAAAGAATTATAATACTTGTCAGGGAATTCACAAGTAGGCTTCCTTTTGGAAATAAAAACTAAACTTATCAATTTGCTTCAGTATATTAGAAAAAAAATGGGTGTCTAACTGAAGAGTTTTTGATTTTGTGTGATGTTGACACATAGGAATTTCTCATTTGGATTAAAATTATGAATCCACAACTATGAAAAAATTTAGAAGCATAATTATTTTCGATGAACTTTAAAACACCCTTAGAATTGAAGGCCATGGGAAGAATCCCTACCCTGCATTCTGCTTTAGTCCTTAGACCCGGGCACCAGCTGCTTGCAGTCATCTTCATTCCTTAGGAAAGACTAGACCTTTTTCTATTTAGCAACCAACCCAGGAACTAGATTTCAGCACACTAACCACATCTTCCTTCTCTGTATCATACTTGTATGCTTTTGGTCCTGAAAAGAAGTAAATGTAGCCTAAAAGAGACAAAGTTGAAATTGTGGTTACTGAAAATGACTTGCAAATTTATAAGTGGGAAGATTTGTAATTGTAATTTTCTTGAGGTGGCACCAAAGGGGATTTGGGAATGTGTCAGGCGGCAGTTAGCACGTCCTCTGCACAGTTCTCAGTGAGCCCTAGAACCTGACACCTCCAGCTCCTCAATCATCTCTCATTTTTCTTTCTCTTCTGGCCAGGCTCCAGCCTTCTCCTTGAGGCCATCCAATAGGTCAAGCTCAGTTATGCTTGGTGCTTCTGCTCAGGCTGTTCCCCTCCTGGAAGTTCCCTCCTCTTTTCTTTCCCTAGTCAAACCTCTAACCATTCTTTAAAACCCAGCTGATGTCCCAACATGAAATCTCCAACTACAAATTCCAGTTCTGATCTTTTCTTTCTCAGATCATCTCTTGCTATTATTGTGAAGACTATCACACAATTCAATACCAAATTATAGATTATTTTGTTTTCTAGTAATTTCATCTGTGTTGGAGGGAGGGGCATTTCTCAAAGATATTCATCATTCTGCAAAAGCAGAAACCATATCTGGAACTGTCTTTGCATTTCTGAAGTGTCCAGCTCTGTGCTATATACTCAAGAAAAATGTGTTGACTGGTTCAAAAGTTCAATTAAATGTACTCAACCCAGTTTAATTCAATTCAACTTTCCCGCCTAAATGTTGAATTTTAGGAGTTGAGTGGTGGAGTGAGGGAAAGGCACTGGGAAGGTTGACAGCATATGCATTTTAAAGACAAAAACAGTAATTTTGACCAGATAGACTTTATAATGTAGCTGACTAAAGGATTTAAGCTATATTTTTAAAACTTTCCATTTGCAAAGAGAGAACCACAATGGCAGACCTTTTATATAATTATTTTTAGTGGTTAATCTGGGTAGCTAAATTTATAAGGGGTCAGTACCAAAATTAGAGCTAAGGACTTCCATTTGGAAACCCATTTTCTGTTACGTTAAAGCAGAGCCCAGATTTCTTGTTACAATTTCCACAAAGAAAGTTTTTAGTGAAAACACTCACCATTCAATTCCACAGCAGCATCTATTTGGCCATTTACTCCTGAGAATTCCTCTTCAGTATTTTTTGGATAGTCTTTTTCCATTTTCCTTTTTCGTTCATCATAGCTGGAAGAGTATTGTTTCATAAATAATATTAATAAGAAGTTTTTATTGATTGTAGATGACATTATGCTGGTCAAGTGGTCAATTGTATTTAGACAAGGCTATTTAATGATTTACTTTAGATCTCTCTCTCTCTCTCTCTCTCTCTCTCTCTCACACACACACACACACACACACACACATTCTATCACTACTCTCCCAGGTTTCTGAAATTCTGGGACCACTAGCTTGCTCTAAACAGTCTCTTTGAAAAATTGTCAGGTATACTGCTTAGAATTAGTTGTTCTACATATTATAGCAACATGTTCCCATAATTCAAAAAAACCATGTTGCCTTTCAAAAGGAACTTTACATATATTTTTAGTGCTTTATTTGCTATTGTAATTATTCTCTCTTCATGTCTCCTTCTCCCTCTTTCCCCATGAATGGTTTGGCTCACCAAACAGGTGAAAGTCCTTCATAGGGGCTTTTATTCATGGGCTTCTTGCCACGTACCCACAGAGATGGAATTGAACACATAATGCACAATGAATGAAAAAACAAATGTGTGAATGATCAATAGATAAAGATAAAAAGCAAGAAAATCTGGAATAACTGAGCTTCTGCCTTTCAAGTCAATTTAATTGAACGAAATTGCTTTTGTTTCCTGGAAAGATTATATGACTGACCAAATAGATTAGGCATCTTTTTCTGGATCAGCAATCACCATTCAGCGATAACTTTGAAGATTGGTTAATACATCTCTTTGTGATAAGAATTGACCCCTTGTAAAAAAGAATGTGACTTGTATGAGTCATCATGATCTGTATGCGTTCAGCACGTAGGCAGATCAGTCTCTCACCTCTTCAAGAAGACTTTGTTTAAAGTTAAGAAAGTCCCTTCTTCATCATCACAGAGCTCACAATGATGACATTCTCAGGGTGGGCACTCAACTGCTTTCCCGCCAAAAGGTTAGACAATTTCTCCTGGTGTCTGGGCCACAGGGCAGTTTCCTGTGGCAACAGATTACACCCACCTGCTCCTGAAGTGTGCCTCTCATGTGGCTATGACTATGCAGGCCAGGGGACAAGATCTCTTATGATATTGAGCAATATTTAAACATTGGGAAAGAAGTCAAGCTGAAACTAGTCAGATTGAAACTGATTTGAGTGTTGAGCTGTTTTTGGAGCTTTGAGGATAAGAGTGGAAGGTAAACTTTCCCAAACTCTCTTTCCAGGAGAGCCATTAGGATCTTTTAACAAATCAAGGGGAAAACTGAGCTATGAGTTACTGTAGCACAAATAAAAAGGGAAACCATTTACTGTGTTCACCATCATCAGAAGTGCCAAAACAGTGTGTAGGGACAGGACGCCCATACACTATTAGAAAGAGTGATTGCAAGGTATCAGGAGTGGAGTTTAGGGGAAAATGGAGAAAAAGAGGAACAGTCAGGCACATTGACTTTCCCATGGCCTAGATTTGTTTTGTTCACTTTGTTCTACAGTCTGAAATCCGGAATCTTTTATTAAAAATGGAAGTACAGATTGTTCACATGCTAATCTTTGTTCACTAGGTTGTTTTTCTTCTCTTGCTTCCCTGAGACAGCTGTAGTGAGGAAATGGAAGCTTTGATTGGAAGGAGTGAGAAAGGTAATTCTGAAGCTTAAAATATTTGGGGAGTGGGATGCAAAAGAAAAGACAAAGCCACTAAGAGGCAATCGGCATGTCTGTAGCTATAGAGGGAATCCGAGTGGGACGATACCAGAGAACAACCTGTTTTGAATTCTTTTCCTAATGTTGACTCCATGCTCAGGAAAAATGGTGGAATTCCTCTCATGGCCTTATCCTCTTTTGTCAGCTCTGGATACAGGATTTGAGGCTGAGCTATTATAATTAGAACTCCTTACCTTTTTATATGTTAAACAGACATTTATAAGTGATTTTGAGAACTTAATAACCATTTATAGTGTTTTATGACAAAATGTGTTCTCAGTTCCAAACAAGTGACTGACTAAAGAATATTTGTAGGGAAACCTATTACAAGCTGGGATCTGCTTGTATGATATTTAAATTGGATGAAGAAGTCTTAAAAGTAAGAAAGGACAGAGCAAAGATCTTTCTTGAGAATAAAGACAGTTTAAATAATACAGAAATAAGTTTTAAAGACAAAATAATGACTAATCATCCAATAGAAAGATCTGAAAAAGAAATTTTTCTCTTTTATCTGTCTGCTTAGTTCACTGAGGTGGACGGTGGTGACACCTAAAATCCTATGTATATCTATTCAGAGAATAATGAAGGTGTAAATATTCAGGGCAGGCCCAAACCATAATATGTAAATATGTAAATAAAATTTCAGAAAAAAATTTTAAAGAAGCAATGTTCAGTTGTGAATTTTAATTGTCAATCACATTTATAAAAACCTAGGCAAAAATCCTTGGCAAAACTATGAAATTACTGATTCTTTCCTTCATCTCTTCTACCACTTTTATATTTAAAAGTCCCCCTGCCTTTATGTCAGCCCCCTCTCTGCCTTCTCGCCTCCTATCTTATAATTGCTTTCTTTTTTGTTATACTCTCAACAAACTGTATTTCAAAGTGTGAGCCTGAAACCGAATCAACATAGGGTTTCCTACTTTTCATTTTACCAAGTAAAAACATTACCATTAAACCATCAAAAAAAATTAACACCTATTTTCATTATCATTTCACAAAGAAAAGAAACTTTAAAACCAAAAAGGCTGAAAGGACATAATCTCAGAATAAAAGATGGTTCTTTCCAAAAATGTGTTTTTATAACTGACACAGATCCCACCCCCTGACATGTATAATATTGTGCCATTGTTCTTATTTTGTGGTGGACTGATAAAGATTTTGTGATGAGCTAGCCCTTGGTTTGTGGACAAATATTTGAGGATTTCTATTACACAGGAAAGAGCATAGCTTGTGCTCTGGGTTTGAATTCTGACCCCGTTATTTGCTGGCTCTGTTATCAGGAGAAAGTGCTCAGAGCTCTGAGCCCTGGCTTCCACATCTGGAAAATAGTGGTCATGAAGATGAGAGACAATTCACACACACACACACACACACACACACACACACACACACACACACACACCTCACACACGCACAGGTATCTGGTACATGTAGGCGCTCAGGGCAGGCCCAAACCATAAGACTGTAGTTTAATTTAGCTCCAGAATCAATAACTGTGACTGGCTAGTATGAGGTCCAGTGAACTTTGTGATTCAATTTGGAATCTTAAATTATCAAAGAGTTTAATCTTTACCTAATCTTTAAACAGACTTCATCAGGGTAACATTTTGCAGTGGTTGGCAAGGTTGAAAAGAGGTGTTTAAAGGAGGGCTAGAGAATGTTGGAGGCAGTCTAGGGAATTTAGCAAGGAAGGGGTTAAGAGTAAGAAGGTCTACTGGTATGCTGAGCATTTTGCTGAAGGTAAAAGAGAAGGAAATTATATGACAGGATGAGAATCATGGGCATGGGTATTTTAATAGACCATAAATAAATAAATAAATAATGAAGAGAATGAAGAATGACTATGTGTGGAGAACAAGAAGAACCTCTGGATTTGGATTCAGAGGACATGAAAAACAGCCTCAGGTCATTTTTTCGCTGCATGATCTTCATCTAAATCACTTAATGTCTCCGATGCAATTTGTAATTGTTAAATGGAGATAGCAGTACTTCTTGAGATTGTTGAGAAGGCACAAGGGAAAATAAGAGAATATGAGAAAATATTCAGTATGATTCCTAACACATCATAAACAATCAATAAATATTAGCCAAATTAAATATTAAGAAAAGAAATGAATTTTTATTGTGAGTCTATAATATTATATACTAGGTACCTGCTAAAATCATTGCCTATGTTTTCTCATCACTGGGGTCTTGCTTGTGAAACTTAAATACCAACTAAAATGATTAACCTGTAACAAAGTTTATTTACTTTTTGGGCATTTGTTCACCACTTAATATTAACAGGTATAGATATTAAATAAATCATTCCTGACAGTTAAACTTGACTAATAATATCATAGTGCAATGGATATCTGATGTGGTTTTTTGAGATATATTATCTTACTCTCCACCTTTGTAATCTAAGGACTTGGGGATTATTTTGGTAAAGTGCCTGAATGTTATTTTGATTGTGATGATTTCTATCATATATTAATGGCAAAACTGATTCTATGCTGCCTTCTTTGAAGTACTCAATGAGGAGTTGAGTCTGCTATTATAAAAGATGCTTTAAAAATATGTGAGGAAGGATGGCAAAAAAGGGAACTTATTGATAAGGTATCTAAGATATATGTTTTCAGGAAATTTCTTCAAGGAGATTTTTCTAGTGAAATGGAAGTCTGGAAACGTCTTTGGAGTTAATAATCCACTTCTAGCAGGGAATCACATGGATTTCATGGAGGAAGGAGCCTTTGTGATCTACACCAGAAAAGGGCAGAGGGGATAGTGGTCAAAATGAAGGGAAGGGAGAAGAGTTGGAAGCTGCCATGTACCATCCCAGACAAGAGTCCAGAAACTAGGACCCCATGAGGAATGACTGTGAGAAGATTTTGGAACAAAGAATTTGTAATAACATGGAAAAATCAATGGACTCAATTGTCACCTGATTATATGATAAAATCCAAATTTATCTCTCCAGCCTGAGTTTTCTGTGTTTAGGACCTGTGTGTCCAACTCTCTTCTGGACATTTGTGTTCTTGGGTCCCTCCAGCATGTCACACTCTACATGTACAAAATGGAATGCTTGTTTATTCCTTTAATTCTGCTTTATTTCTTAATGTTATTCTTTCCCCACTGAATGGCCATAGCATCCCTGTCAAAAATCAGCTGACCATAGATACATGAGGTATTTCTGGACTATCAGTTTTTATTCCACTGATGTATAAGTGTATCCTTATGTTGGTATCACATTGTCTTGATTACTGTTGCTTTGTAATAAGCTTTGAAATTGGGAAGTCTCAGTCCTGCAGTTTTATTCTTTTTCAAGAT